AGTGGGCTCTTGGGTGTCAGGAAGTGTGAGGATGGTGTAGGGTAGCACAGGGTTCAGATCTTTTGTTCATATGGTCACTAGGAGTCAAGTTTGACTCAACGGCACCTAACAACAACAACAACAACATGGGACAGTCCTGCTGTATTCTCTAGGGTCACTATGATTGGGAATCAAACTCAACTTGTCAAGTGGGTTTGATTTTGTTTGGTGCTTTAAAATTTATTTTTTTATATTGGTTTGCATACAAAATTCATATATGTTGCTTTTCATCCATATGCATTGTGTCTAATGTATTCCTCCATTCACATTGTTTCATATGATCATTTCCATATATTGTGTTTCATTAAAATGAGTCTCCATTGATCTATGCTCACTATTACCCCATCTTTTCAGATCCCCATTGGATCTTTCCTAATTCCTTTACTCCCTCCCTCCACCCACCAAACTCTGCAACCCTGTGATTTACTGCACCCCACCCCACCCTCAGCTCTCTCGTCCCCTCTCCTTCCCCCTTTTGGACTTTTATACACATCTTACTAGTTATCCTTCTATGCTTACAATAATAGCCTCATGCTATTTTTTTTGTCCTTGTCCTTATGTATGTCCTTGTCCTTTTTGTATTTGTCCTTATGAGTACTGAGTTAGTTCCTCAGCATAATCCCCTCCAGCCTCTCCTTGCTATATAGTATTTTTCAAACTTGCTGCTCCTGAGTGCTGCATAATATTCCGTTGTGTGAATGCACTACAATTTCTCAATCCATTTGTCTGTTGATGGCCATTAGGGCTGTTTCCATGTTCTTGTGATGGTGAATAATGCTGCTGTGAATATCAGTGTACAAATCTCCATTGTATCTCAGTCCTATTTTCTTTGGGGTATATTCCCAGCAGTGGAATAGTTAAGTCATAGGGAAATTCTATGTTTAGCTTTTTGAGGAAATGCCAAACTGCCTTCCAGAGTGGTTGTACAATCTAAACAGCAGTGTATGAGAGTTGTAATCGCTCTGTATCTTCTCTAATATTTATTGCTGACTGTCCTGTTAAATTTTGCCACTCCTACTGGAGTACGATGGTATCTCATTGTGGTTTTGATTTCCATCTCTCTTTTTACCAGTGATTTTGAGCATTTCTTCATGTGACTGTTTGCCATCCAAATGTCCTCCTCTGAAAAGTCATTTCATGTCTTTTGCCCATTTTGTACTTGGTTTATCAGTCTGTGTGTGTGTGTGTGTGTGTGTGTGTGTGTGTGTGTGTGTGTGTGGGCACCCTGTAGGTTTATTTAAACTTTCATTATGAGACCCTAGTCAGAGATGTCATTGTCAATTTTTTTTTCAGTCAGTAAGTTTTCTTTTCATTCTATAAGTAATAGTTTTTGATACAGAGACTTAATCTTTAGAAGGTTTGATTCATCAATGTTATCCTCTCCTGGTTTCATTTCTGGCTGTATTTGCTAGCCTATTTACACCATAGGCTAGGCCTTCTAAGTTTGGTCTCATTTTGTCTCTTATGATATTTATGGGTTTTGTTTTAAGCAGACCTTAGCAAAAATGTCCAAGTTGAGCAAGCCAAGGCATATGATAGGTGAGATCTTCTTGGTATAAGCTGAAAAGGAACATGTGCACTTGGAGTGGACTCAAACCTGAATTGTTCAGGGCTCTCTGGCGAGAAGAAAAGCTTGATTAGAACGTGTTCATGACAACTTAACACAGCCATGAATTCATTTCAATGCACAGTAATCCTACAGGGAAAAAAAATAGCATTGCCCAGTTGAATTTTCTAAGGCAGTAAATCTTAAGACCATGATGGATGGAGAAGAGATTGAGGTTGTTAACAATTATAGCTTGCTTGGATCCACAATCAACAGTCTTGGCACCAGCAGTCAGAAAATCAAAAGGTGAATTGCATGAGTTAAATCTGCTGTCAGGGACCATTCCAGAGTACTGAGAAGCAATGATGTCAGTCTAGAGACTAAGGTGTCCCTGATCCAGGCCATTTTCTTTCCAATTACTTGCTATGCATTAGAGAGCTGGATAATGGACAAGGATGACAGTGAATTGGTGCCTTTGAAATGTGGTGCTGGAGAACAGTATTGGATATACAGTGGACTGCAAAGAGAACTAAGAGGTCTTTCCTGGAGAGGGTGAAATGAAGTTTCTCCTTGGAGGCTAGGATTTCGAAGCTCCATCTCACATATTATGCACAGAAGGGTGGAGGGACAGTGCAGGAGATGAAGACCCCAGATGAGATGGATCAATAGAGTAACTAGGGCAATGGAAGTAAGTGTGTCAGGGTCAGTGATACTGGCTCAGGACAGGGCAGGCTTCAGAGCTGTTGTACATAGGGTCGCTATGAGTCACAGATGACTAGACAGCATTTAACAGCAACAAATCTTAACAGAAGCACACTGCCTCCTCTTTCCCCTGCCAAGCTGCTGGTTTAAACAGCAGATCTTCTGATTAGCAGCCAAATGCTTTAACCACAGTACCACTAGAGTTCTTCAAGAACCCGTAAAGGGTAAAAAAAAAAAAATGGACGTTTGCTAGCACTTGGTCACAGAAATGAACTTTGATGAACTTGGAATTTCCCTGTGCTTTCCTACATATGGTTCTGGGAATTTAAGCAAACTTCCTTACCTCTAAAACATTATCACCACTTCCCAAAGTTTTTAGATATGAAGAACAAGGTTTGTGGTCAATGGCAAAAAGCAACAGGCAAGCTAAGCAAAGTGAGAAGGTTATGAAAGGAAAATAATGTTTAAAAAAATATACTTGCTGTCAGGTTGCTTCTGACTCATGGTGACCTCATGTGTGCAGGGAACTCTGCCCCACAGTGTTTTCAGCAGGTAAGTTTTCACAGGCAAATTGTTAGACATTTCCTTGGAGATGCTGTTGAATAAGCTCAAGCTCCCAATATTTTGTCCATTTGCACTTTACTTAGTGGGAAAAGCTCTTTAAATCCACTGCCATTGAGTGGGTTCTAACACACAGCTGACCCTCCAGCTGGTTTCCAAGGCTGTAACTGGCACGGAAGGAAATTGTCCATCTTTCTTCCTCAGAGCAGCCCTTCTGATCTGTGTCTTCTCAGATGATTCGACAGTTTATGGTTTCATGTAATACTGTGTTCATGGTTTGTCCCTAGGTTCATATTTGTATTTCTTATGCACCATTTCTTCTGTCTCTTTCACTTAGACTAACCAAAGCCCTTTTAATCCTCTCTAAGAGCATCTATAAAGCCACCATGAGGAAACTACTTGTTCTTATCCCAGTCTCCAGACTTCATTATAGAATGCATTCTCTTTTGGTCAGATTCTTTCTTGTAGATCAGGATTGAAATAATAAAAGTAATTGTGTTATGTGAATGAAAGATAGTGTGAAACGCATTGTATACAAACTTTGTAAGCAAACCAGTATTTTTTTTTTTAAAAAAAAAAGGACTTGTGTAAATGGAATTGTGGCTCAGAGAATTTTTACATCTATTTCCACTTAATTTAGAAGAGAATTAATTTATTCACATATTTTCCATCTTTCTTTTCTTTGTTTTAGTTCTGTTTGACTTAGTATCTAAAGGTGTTTTTTTAAAAAAATGATAGTCTTTTTTGATGACTGGATTTAGATTACAGATGCTGATTTTAATGTCATTACTGTAACTAGTCTATACACTCTAATTCCAGTCACTGAAGAAAAGAACTTGCCCCGGGAGAAAAAAAATACTTTTAAATTGAACTCCAGTGCCCCTTCTTCCCTAATGAGTTATTTGGAGCAACATCTCTGCAGTCTTTAAACTCAGGTTATTCATCTGCAACCAGAGATCCTAGAAAAGCAGCAGCCCCCCAGGGAGTCATCAGTGTGAGCGTAGGTGTTCCTGTGTCTGGAGCTGCTGATGAGTCAGGCGCTGTAGAGTTTCTTTGGCAGGTACTTTTATTTTCCCTGTGGCTGAAGATGATTACTGTTCTTTGCTGAAGTTCTTTGCAAATGTGACGTTAGAAGCTTTGAAATTCAGGTTAAGCACTCATTCTTTCATTGTAAATAAAAGCCAGAGAGAGGCAGAGCCTTGAGGATTATTTTTAAAACATATTACTATAATTTAACCCTATTTCTGTTACAGACTAATTTCTTTTTTAAAAATTTTTATTTTATATTGGTTTGCTTACAAAGTTCGGATACATTATGTTTCACACTATCCTTCATTCACATTGTGTTACATACAATCATTCCTATTTATTATGTTTTATAAAACGAATCCTCGTACTGTCTTTTCAGATCTCTGCTGGATCTTTCCAATTTCCTTTGCCCCACTCACTCAGCAAACTGTACGGCCCTATGATTTCCCCACAGCTCATCCTCACCCCTTTGTTCTCACCCACTCCATCTTGTATCTTCATACATGTTTTATTAGTAATGCTTCTATTTCTACACTAATGCAGATTTTGTCTTTATGTGACTGAGTTAATTCACTCAGTGTAATGCTCTCTGCTCTCTGGTCCTTTGCAAGCTGTGTAGTGATTTTCAAAATTGTTTCTCCTGCGTGTGTGTGGTATTCCATCATATGAATGTGCCACAGTTTCTCAGTCCACCCAATTGTGGTTGGACATTTGGGCTGTTTCTGTGTTCTTACAATGGTGAATAACACTGCTGTCAGCATTGGTGTACAACTCTCCATTTGTGTTTCAGTTCTAATTTTCTAGTAGTATACTCATAGTAGTGGAATAGCTGGCTCCTAAAGAATTTCTGTATTCAGCTTTTTGAGGAAATACCAAACTGCCTTCCAGAGTGGTTGTACCACTTACAATCCCATCAACAGTGTACAAGTGTTCCTATCTCTCTGCATCCTCTCCAACATTTATTACTTGCTGTCCTGTTAAACTTTACCACGGCTAGTTGGATGGGGTAGTACCTCATTGTGGTTTTGATCCCTCTTATTGCCAGTGATTTTGAACATTTCTTCATTTGTACAGACTAATTTCTATTACATGAAGCTGAGATTTGCTTTTATTTTTCTCACAGTCCATTGTGCGAGGAACACGCCTGCCTTTTTGGCTGGAAGACTGCATCAAGCTTTGAAGGTTGGTCTGGAGATTTCATATGCATTCTTTGTTGCCCTCAGTATTGATAAGATGGCATATTTCTTTTTCTTTTTGATATGTTCTCTTCTGTAGCTCATTTATCTAGGTTGACAGTGAGATATCTCAACATAGAGACAGGCACAGTGAAGTGCTAACAAAATTATTTGCCCCACTTCACAGTAAATGTAGGAAAGGCAATAGAATTTGGATTATGAGGGCAAAGTTACAGATTGACCCATTAGGCCCAATGGCCTCTCATTGTTCACTTTAAATAACTCAAGTGGAACCAGTAACCTTTAGATAATATTGCAACTGTGTTTTCCTGTATGTCTTTGCTCATCATTGGTGAGGAGAGTTTATTCCTTGGGGTTTTTTTAATAGCTTCAGGCCCTAGCACTAGGCCTGGCACATAAAATGTGCTTACATCAGTTCTTTCCTGGGTATATTCTGTGTAGGATCCCACAGGCACCTTCAAAGTAAAGTCCAAGGTGAACACTTTCCATCTCCCCTACCTTCACTCCTAAGTATCTTCCCAAAGTGGTTTGGAGTTTAACTTTACCTAAATTAATTTGGGGTTTGCTTTTGTTTCCTGGGAAATAACATATGGGATTTCTTTAGTAACAAAAGCAACTTTGCCTTTGTTATCTGACAATACCTGACAGTTGTGTTGGTAAATTTGGGCCTGGTGAGACAAGAAAGACTCTGGGTTGGGGGTCAGGAATTGATCATGAGTCTCCAATAAAAATAGGCACTCCTGGTGGTAAAAATATCAAAACCTTTAGGAGAGAAATAAATATTTTGGGACATGGATGTTTAGCACTGGAAGCCCTATCACATAATACCCTGTGTGTTTGTTTGTGTACTTTGTATTTCCTAGTAAAGCGGTAATGTTGAGTATAGCATTTCCATGAGTTCTGAGCGTCATTCTGGAAATACTGGAGTATGAGCCTGCAGGCCACAGTGAAGGAACCCAGGGAAGACTCTGAGCTTGTAACTGGCATCCAAAAGAGTAGGGAAGCCCTGAATTTGTAGCTAGCAAGTCAGAAGAAAGAGTATTGTGTAGTGTTCCAATCTTGTAGCTGTTGTTAGGTGTCATCAAGTTGACCACAGTTCATAGTTACCCTGTGAACAACAAATCTAAACCTCGCCTTCTCCTGCATCATTACCATGATCTCTGCCATGCTGAAGCCCGTTGCTATAGTAACTGTGTCACTCCATCTCCTTTAGGATCTTCCTCTCCTTTACCGACCCTTCATCTTTCCTATTATAATGTCTTTTTTTTCAAAGACTTAAAACATATCCAAAGTATATGAGTCAAAGGTTCACTATTCTCGCTTTTAAAGAGCACTCTGGATGCACTTCCTCCAAGATAGATTTGCTTGTTCTTTTGCCAATCTGTGGATGTTCAACACTCACACCAACACCACAGTTAAAGGCATAGAATGTGGCTAGTGTCTGTTTATTTGGCAGTATGAAGACTTGTTGTTAGATGCCATTGAGTCAAGTATGACTCATAGCAATGCTATAAATAGCCGACCTGAACCCAGCCCTATCCTGTGCCGTCCTCATCGTACTAGCACACTAGAGCCCATTTACTAAAGTCATCATTACAGTTTATCTCATTGGGAGGTCTTTCTCTCCTTTGTTGACCCTCCATCCTTCTAAGCATGATATCCTTTCCAAGGAATAACTTCACCTAGCTAAATGTCCGAAGTATGAAAGATGAAATTTTGCCATCTTTACCCCCAAGGTGCACCTTGGCTACCTTTTTCCCAAGACATGAATGTTTGAATGTTCTTTTGGCACTCCAAGGGATACTCAATACTCCTCCAGTACCATAACTCAAAAGTATCAACTAGTATTAATTCTTTTCTCTGTCATATTTATTCATTATTTAGCTCTATGATATGTAGCAGGTTACTGAGACCATGGCCTGAGTAAGTAAGTGTACCTTAGTCTTAAAACTGCCATTGTTGTTTGAAGAAGTCCCTGACAGTAGACTTGCCTAGTGCAGTACGTCTCCTGATTTCCTGAGTGCTAGTACCAAGAATGTTGTTTGTTGATCCAAGCAAGATGAAATTATTGACAGCTTCAGTCCTTTCTCCATCTATCATAATATTGACTGAGTTGGTTCTATGGGGAAGACCTTTGTTTTCTTGGTGGTGAGATGTAATCCATAACCAAAGGGTGCAGTCCTTGATCTTCTGCAGCAAGGAAGTACTATATTTGAGAAAGTACATTATGAACAAGAGCCAACGGTAATAAAGGATAAAGGTCAAGCTGCACTGAAGGCATTTTAAAAAAATAAGACCTCAGGAATTGATTGACTACTAGTTGATAGATACAGCCCTGGATACACTCACCAGTTTGTGCCAAAAAATTTGGAGGACAGCTGCCTGGCTGACTGACTAGAAGAGATCAGTATTTGTCCTCATTCGCAAGAAAGGTAATCCAACAGAATGTGGAAATTATCGAACAATATCATTACTACCATATGCAAGCAAAATATTGCTAAAAATCATCCAGAAATGGCTAAAACAGTTCGTTGACTGAGAATTGCCAGAAGTTCAAGCTGGATTTAAAAGAAGCCATGGTCTCAGGGCAATCATGGCTGAAGTCAGATGGGTCTTGGCAGAATACATGGAATACCAGAAGAATTTCTATTTGTGTTTATTAACTATGCAAAGGCATTTGACTGTGTGGATCATAACAAATATAGCTAACACTGAAATATCAGAAAGCTTACTTGTGCTCATGAGTAATCTATACCTCGATCAAGAAGCTATTGTCCAGATGGAGCAGGGGAACAATACATGGTTTAAAACAAGGAAGGCTGTATGTCAGGGTTGTATCCTTTCTCCATACCTATTCAGTCTGTATGCTGAGCAAACAATTTGCAAAGCTGGACTCTGTGAAGAGGAATGTGGCATCAGAATCAGAGGGAGACTCATCAACAGTTTGAAGAACAGCATCCTTTAATTTTTTATTATTATTAAATTTTATTCGTTTCAATGAACATTCACAGGGATTCTGGGCTTTCACTCCTTCATTGCCGCACCATTCTCTCCACCCTCCTCCCCAGTTTGTTCTTCTTCCCTGCCATCCGAATGTCTGTTTTAATTATCCAATTGCCACAGTGCTTGTCAAAGTCAGTTCTGATTAATCTCCTTTGTCAGTGTGTCCTTTGCCATTCCCTATCACTCCTCCCTGAGAGAGACTTCACCCCGATTCATAAGGAAAAGGGGATGGCGTATTCTCTTAGCTACTTCCTGCTGAAAAGGGACGCTGTGCGTTTCAGGGTGAAGATCTTCTCTCACTACTCTAAAGGGCCCCTTTGGCAGTAGGAAACACATAGACTATTATGGAGATTGATTTTGGAGTTTAGATGCACTCTTATTGATTGTGCTTGGCCGTACATGTTCATATCCTTGAAGATGTATCATGGGGGTGTTGCAACCTAGAAGACACACATTTAACTAACAAGTTATAAGTACATGAGTCATAAATTATGGAAAAGTAAAAGAAAAGATTCTTTCATTGTTTTACAAACCCTCCCGATGCCTAGTCCACCATGTAGCCCTCGCTCTAGACTCCTGTGATGACAGAAATACCTAGTCACATATCTCTTTTACACAGTTTTCTCCCTCCTCTGTTTCAGTGCAGTATACATTATTGAACCCATCTTACTCAGTCTCTCCCCAACCCTGAGGTTAGTCGCCTTCTACAACAGTGGCATCATGTAATATTTGTCCTTTTGTGACTGGGATATTTCACTCAGCATAATGTTCTCCAGAGTCAACCATTTTGAATAATATTGCATGAGTTCCTTGTTTTTTAATGCAGCATAATTTTGAGGCCTAAGTAGGGAGTTCTGGAGGCTTAGTGTAATAAATTGCGCTGCCAGCCCAAAGGCACACTGTTTGAAATCTACCAGCATCTCCATAGGAGAAAGATGGGCATTCTCCTGCATGATTCTCTGCACCTGAAAACCTGCTACAGGATCATATGAGTAGATTATGACTCTATGTCCACAACAGCAGCTTACCTTTGAGTTGTTAGGGTCAGCAAAAGAAGTGCTGCAGGCTTACTGACATCTGATTAGAACAAAAAAAAATGGAAAAAATTGTTATATCCTTTTAGTTGAGGGAAGAATAATGGACTTGGAGATTTACGACACAGTATAGTCCCCACTCCTGTGTTCAGTCATCTTGGTGGATGGTCCCAGGAAACTGACTTTGCTCAACTTCGAAGTCAGATCATTCTTCCCTGTTGTTATTCAGTACCCTTCAGCCATCAGCTTCCTTTTGGTTACTTGACTATGCAGAGAATTTTTCCATCTCAAAATAATTTCATTTCTTGTCCACAGTGTACCTCCTGTACATCTTCGCATGACTGTCTCTTTCTCATCTTTCACATTTCTGCTCAAAATTTACCACCTGAGAGAGACTTTTTTTAAACTTGTTGTTGTTATGTGCCGTCGAGTCGTTTGCGACTCATAGCAACCCTATGCACAACAGCCCTAAACCCTGCTCTATCCTGCGCCAACCACACTG